TATCGTGTTATGGGGGGGTAACGGGCTGTAAAGCTGTCTCGGTCATAAAGAGCGATCGCAGAGTGCCGAGTCAAACCAGAATGCCGAGCTCTGCGAGCCATACGCAGCCCTCGTTATCATCAGAACGGCTTCGTCACATACTTAACCTTTCCAGACCAGCCTTTCTGCATTATTTTCCAAATGACCTTTAGCGTTACTTATTTCATTTCCGATAATGGCGCACTAAATTTAGTTAAATGCATCAGGGCAAAATGTGTTTATTTTGGTGAAGGGGACCGCGCTGACTGACAAGGGCCGTGTTCCCAGACACAAACTCTTAAGTGTCCACGGAAGTAAACATCCGTACATCTTCCTGATTGGGACTGAAGACAAACACGTATAAATTAGATTGATCAAAACAAGTTAAAAAAAAAAGGGCAATACCCATTTAGATAAGGAGTACATGCATAAGATATTGAAGTATGTGGTTGCCATTTTATCCGTGCAGAAGTTCAGGGAGATACGTGAGGACACAGCAGCTGCGTCGAGGTTATGCTGCAGCTCAGATGTTCGAGTCTCCGCCTCAGCGGGCGCACAAGTCAACTCCCTACTCCTGTTCTAAGTTTCATTGTGTAAATAAAGTCTTTGGTGGCAGCTGCATTAGCCATGCAAGAATGATATGGCCGCAATGCATCCTGGTACATTTAGGCACTGCCCCAGCAGCAGGAGAACTCCATGCACTGGGGAATTTGTTGCTTCAACTGACTACTTCTACTGATTGGACATCCACATTAAAGGAGGCAATTCTTCCCCTAAATGTTTCAGATTATTCTGACTTTACATGCGTTTAACTGCGTTTTTTTTGAACAGACATCTAAGGGTTGACAAAAGTACAAATACATATATTTGTTTACATCCGTAGCTGTGTGTTAATGAATTCACAAGCCGGCTTCCAGGTGCACACAAATACGTAGCTACCCCTCGAGCTGTTGCACCGCAGACACAATCCCTCAGCCTGGAAGGAGCGGGGAGTTTCACGCCCTTGCTGTATGAGCGGAAGGGGGGAGGGGGTGGGGCGGAGGGATCTTAGCGAAATCGCTAATGTACGTGATGATTAAGTGTAACTCAAATACCGAGTGTGTTGTTCATGGGCCTGACAGGCAGTAATTTGGTGTATTATATTCTGCGGTTTTAATTGCACGCCACCAACGTGTCCCTCTGACACGTTATGAAGCGATGATGTACAATTATTTCGGGGCGGCGGGAGATCAGCGGAGTGACATTATAATCATCCTCATAGGGATCCCTCTCTTCATCTGCAACAACCATTAATGTTTAAATGGAAGGAAGGGAGGGAAAGAAAAAAAAACAAAAAAAAAACATAAAAATAGTTCTCAGGGAGTTCTAACCAGAATCTGTTTGAGGATTATAGAGAATCATGTCAGGGGAGAAGGAGAGGGGTGTGGAGAGACAATAGAGGGGCTGAGTTAAGTGACGGCTTTCTTTGGATAAGCAGCAAGCTAAGATGCTCCTCCACTGTCACTGCCAGGCCTCACACTACTCATACAGGCCCGGGCATTAAGGCACATTACAGCGGATGAGCCACGCAGGGCGGAACTGATGGGCTATTCTGGGTACGGACCAGACAATCTCACAAGACAGGGGGGGACATAAAAACCCTGACACGAGCCAGCCCCATCCTGTTAACAGTCAAATCACACACACAACACCCAACATGAAATCATGACTATATATACTCTCTCCAACACTAAGTCAAGAAAACTGGGAGGGGAGGGAGGGAGGGAGGGAGGGGGAAACACAATGCAGCCTCCTCCACGGAGAAGACAAACTTCAGCACGTTGCAAACTTTGTTTTGTGTGTTGTGAGAAAGCAAAAGGTTTTTGTTCGAATTCCTGAAGTGACCCTAGCAAACGGGCAGCTTATGACCCATAATCATAAACACGGCAGTGCACAAGAGGACAATCCACGTCCCTGATAGCGTTAATGCTTCCAAGGCCCGGGCTAAGATATTAAACCAATGCCTCAAAGCATTTAGACTGTTTATGCATAATTTAACACCTACAACAGCACTGGATGTCCGTTGCATCTTTGGGGAGGACGAGAGGGTGGAAATGCTGAATCCAGGGCCTTTCTGTTGGATGATGGAGGAGAGGAGGAGGAGGCTCATTAAGTGGCCCGAGCCCCACTGTGGACAAAACACAACCGTGAGGAAATGCAAGAATCTGCCGTCTCACATGCTGGAGATTTTTTCTTTTCAACCAATTAAATATGAGGAATCTCATCTTGTGTGCTAACAGCCAATTTGTGTTTGTTTTTTTCTGCTGTTTTTGCACCTTAAAGAGTTCTTTATGGGCGAATTAGGACAGAGCGGTCCGTTTTACAAACAAAGACACATGCAGGCGGACAGACGGACAGAGGCGTGGACGCGGATGTGTAGAGGAATGGAGAGAATCGGCTAGGCGGAGACAGAAAGCCTATAAAGTGTTGGCGATGATGAGCGAGGCGCTGACCGGCCCACTCAGGTGTGATTGGCAGCGTGGTCAGGGGGCTCCTATCTGTCCTGGCCTCGCATTTGCATTTGTTAATTAAATGCCACAACAATATGATCTTTAACTATCAACCAGTTCAACAAGTGCGCCGACGCTGAAGTGAGGTGGACAGCCGAGGTGCAGCACAGCCGCCCGATCGCCGCGTCACAGCCGAGATAATCTTCTGGTCTGAAACTTTAACAAGGAAAACACGGCAATCGATGGTGGTGAGGGGGGGGGGGGGTCTTTTTGAAAGAAGAAAAAGGAAAAGAACACAAACAATATGCTGAGCCGGTGCTCTGAACAAAATGGCAATAAACTATAGCAGCAAAACTTCATGTCCCGTGGAGGCCCGAGAGTCTGTGAGCATGAAATAAATTAATGAAACACATATTATATTGTAAAAAAAAAAAAAAAAACAGCCTCAAGATAGTCTTGTGTTAATTGAAATGATTAATGGTGATTCACAAACAAATATCTGGAAAAACTTTTTTTGTTTGGTTACGAAATGTATCTTAAGCATCCGCAGGAGAATGCAGAACTTAATCGCACCATAATCTCACTTTAAACATTATACCCGGACACGTGGCCATCCGTTAGCAGCGTGCTTTAGATTCAGGTTAAGGACGCAGCACCAAAACGTGAGAAGTTTGGGAAGGGGGTGCAGGCTAACGGGTATGTATGGCTCTGGCCTTAATGAGGGTGTTTCTGGAGGGTTTTCTTTGTGTTTGCTGCTCTTTAGTCAAGAGGAGCGATGGCCTGGTGATCAGTCAGTACTGAAAGCGCACACAGGGCCGATTTGTCACCGGCGGCTGGCACTGGCAGCACTCGGCTCCTCCACCCGCATGATTTGTGAAACCAGGGGCTGTATTTAGTAGTCCCATTTAAAAACAGGCATACCGGGGAAACTGCTCTGTACGTAGACGTGCGTGCGTGTGTGTGTAAAGTCGAGACGCCGCTTGGTCAAAAGCCCAAACCCATTTTGCAGCACTTGGGAGAAGAAGGTTTTCAGCTGGAGGGCTTGTGAAACATGAGCCTTTCCTCTCATTAAAGGAGAAGCTGTGTTTAAAACCAAACGCGTGTTTGCTCCCGCTGTAATATGTTTGCGAAACATCAGCGGGAGCAAATAAACACATTCGCTCTGCTCGGCTTTTGAAAAAAAAAAAAAAAAAAAAGGAACAAAATTGTCCCACGACTGAACTAAATGCAACGGTTTACACAGAATTACACAGAGGGAGAAGCTAATAACCCCACATATGTCTCCATCTTAGCGAGAGTGTAGCCGCAGAAGCTCGATGGCACAAAGCTGGAAATCCCACAATTTACTCTATTCCCCCGACTGCATGTTAAACAGCTTAACACGTCCGTTCGAACATGGCACGGCAGCGAGGAGGTCTACCGCGGGAATGGAACCAGCTGAACACAACATATGGTCCACATGTAGGGGGGTACAAGGTAGCGGGATATCGCTGTACTCTGGCACTGCTGGGTATTTATAGGCTCGCGGTTACCTACATAAACTGGCAATTAGGATTACTTGTACAGCTGAAACAAAAGGGTAGGCAGAGTAAACTCGGATATCTTTTACCTTTTAATTCAGGAGGAACGCTGACCAGCAGCAATACATTTGTCTTCTTAAGAAAAGGCCTGGGGGCAGTTGAAGGCGAGAGAACGTTATTCACACATTAAGGTGTGACTGGTACTGAAATGTTGGGATTGTTTTTGGACTGCGTCTCGCTATTTTTATGTTAAATTGCCTTTTGATTGATTGCTTTCTCTCCTAAATGAATAATAGTCAATGTATTAAGAGCTTCCACCAGAATATTAAATGTGCCATGATTCTCTAAAGACAGAAAAATGATATTCGTTATATATATTTATATAACAGCTCATTTAAGCAGTGCGTGGAAGGTTGTAATGTTGGGTTTTTTTTTTTTTTACAGATTGAAATCTCACGATTTTGACAAGGAGTCTCTACATCAGAACAGAATCTGTCATTGTGGTCGGACAGGGTTAAATTGGATTGAATTATGAATTAGCTTGAGACAAATGCAATTTAAAGTGGGCTGGGCAAAGGATAATTAGCAGATCGCTCCTTAGACACCAACATGAAACCTTACTACACCTGACCGGAGCAACACAACCACTCGCTGTTTTGTTTCTCACTTTCAACTGAAAGCTCTGGCAGCTGTTTCGGAAAACATACCAAATGCCTCCTAAACTATCCCTGAATATGTTTCCATATAAATATGGGACACTAATGTTCTGGTATCATCTAAATTCAGTTTCTGGCCTCATGGCTCGTAACAATGATCAGTTAGACGAGAGAAACACTAGTTATGTAAGAGTGGAAAAGTCTGTTCAGTTGTGTAAAGAGTTGACCACCGTCTTAATTTGTGACGTACCAAAGCCTTTGTTCCCCTCCTTGCGTTTTAAATCATATTCTTAAACATGGCGGTCGTTGTAACTCACCCACAGATGTCGCACTTGTACTCTCTCATGCCGAGGTGTCTCTTCACGTGGTTCCTGGCGTCTCCCAGCTGGGCGGTCGCAAAGTTGCAGATCTTGCACATGAAGGGCTTGGATCCTGCAAAACAAAAGCACAACGAGAGTTCACATCCCACAATAACATTACGTTTGAAAGAACGCGTTGGCAATCGCAAAGAAACACGACTGCATAGCCGCTGGGCAGAAATCAGATTCTACTTTACAGATCGTTTTTTCAATGGCAGGCGTGTAGGACCGTTATTAGTTCTGTGAGAGGACTTCAACCAACTCCAGAGCCATTAAATGACTCCAGAATTATAAAGAAGAAAAAACAGATGCCCTTACTGCAGCCCCCCATAAAAACTACAGTCACACTCCCGAGTGCCAGGCGTCTCTTCCTTCACTCTCTATCTATCCTTGTCACTCTCCTTCATCTCTTACCTACTCTTCCTTTGCCTGTGGATGCGTAAATTGGATTCCAAAGGTCAGGGCGAATGCGTAAATCAATTCTGTGTGCGCTCACTACCTCCCGTTCCATCATTAAAGCGCTAATCACTCCGGCGGGCTTCTCAGGGAGGTTTCTCCCTAATTATTGTCATTAATAAGTCCGGTGGGGCGGGGTGGCGTTTGAGAGAGTGGCAGAGCCTCTGCCCGCCATCCGTCATTCAAGAGCAGAGCCGCGAAGGGGCTGAGGGCGCTATCTGTGTGACGCACAAACATTTACCAGCTCACGGTGAAAAAGAGGGAAGGGGCCTTCAGAGTTGGGGCGAATAAAAATGGTTGTTGGGGCAAAAATCACGTATTCCTTTGGGTTTAACACATAATACCAAACTTTATATTCAGGGAAATAAGTTGCTAAAGCCTACACTTTATCGCAAAAATATAAAACGTGTGCATTTGTTAAAAATAAAATGGACGTTTTGTTTGGCGGGCTGGGCCGGATTCAGGCCGGCATCACACAGTGGCAGCCTGGTGCATCCACGTGCGCATCTTCTGAGCGAACCCTCGCCCGCTCACAGGGAATATCCCAAGACGCTCGACAATATTTATTCCAGGGGCAGCCGCTGATTTGATTAAGCACTTTGTGTAGATTACTAATTCGTTCATACACGGTTCACTTGCTGTGAGCTGGAAGTATGACACATCGAATTTTAAGCCGGTAACGAAGATTGAAAGGCAAGCGTGTGCTAACAAGGCCCATAAACATGGAGGTGGTGGGGGGGGGGGGGCTTTGCCGTTGCCCAGCCAGCCTCTTCATTTCACATGTCCCGTACAGTACACGCAAATCACTACACAGTCACAAATAAAACACACAAAAAAAAAACCTATACATAAAACACACTTCACACCTAAATGTGCAGACACTTTCACACACACACAAATCACACAACACGATCATCAACACCCCGGAAAAACAACAACAACAAAAAGACAAGACACGCACGCTCACACCACACCCACCATCACGCCAACACGTACCTACATCTAGATTCGGAGCCCCACCTCACACCTTATGCATGTGCATGCAGACACACACATTACATTCATAAGACGTAACCACCCATGGACAAACAGAAGGAGAGACAATCACTCACACACACACACGCTCGCTCACTCAACCTAAAGTTGAGGTGAGAGAGAGGCGTGTGGGGAGCTGATTTGTCCAGATGGCTGGCTGAGTATGAGACATGGCAGAGAGGAGGGAGATGTAATGTCCCTCAGTTCCCACATCTTATCACATTAATACTCCACCACTCCACTTAAACAGCTTCCGTGAAACTGAAATTGACCATCAATGCAGTGTCATGTTAAATTAATATTGCCATCCACACAGAGGCGATGTGGCTCCCTCACATCCCCGATGAGACAGGGAATGACTAATTCATTTCCTGAGAGGAGAGGGGAACCTCGTGTAATGTTTCACTCCGAGCGCTTACACACACACACACACACACACACACACACACACACACACACACACAAGGTGATGTCTTAAGCCTTGCACATGCCACACACTCCTGTCATATCCTTAGCTTTAATCTTCCGGTTTGGAGGAAGAGAATTATACATTTCATATAAATAAATGTCTCTTTTTTTCTGTCCGGCTTCAACCCTACCTCACAGTAGACGCAGCGAGTTCTGTTTAAGTTATCATGATCCGTCACACACAGGGTTACAGACATCCAGTCAAAATGTACCTTTATACATCACATTGTCTTTAAATGACTGGAGCCATAGGACTATACAGTAACTGTGAGCTAGAGGGGAGGAGAGGGAGAGACAAGCATCTCTCCCTCCAGAGCTGGACAATATATGGATATTATGTCCATGTCATGATATGAGACCAGATATCGTCTGAGGTTTTGGATATCACAGGATGGCACAAGTGTCGTCTTTTCCTGGTTTTACAGTCACCATTACTGATGGTTATCTATCAAAAATCTTGTTTTTTTATTGTTTTGTGAAGGCACCAAAAGTCAACCCTGCAATATTGATATTGGAGGTATTTGGTCAAAAATATTGTGGGATTTGATTCTCTCCATGTCACCGAGCCTGATCTCCCGTTTCACAAACACAGAGTTTCATCTCCAGTAAATAAATGCAACAAACTGTTCAAATATGCGGCTGCATTAAAGAGGCACTCTGGCCTTTTAGTGAGGACTCACAAAACACTTTAAAAAGGGAATTGAGAGGGTTCTGGGTTTTTTTTCCCCCAATGTGTGTGATGTCTTCTTCTGCTCTGGGGGAAACTTTACAAACTGTGCTCACAAACTGATCGGTTGAACAAACAGAACTGCTTGTTTGAAATTGGTAGAGAAAGACTACATTCAGTCATTCACAGTGTTGCACACCTGCCGGGCGACTTTGGGTGCTTCTGCATCCAACAGCTGTAAACACTGGGAGTTACCACTTCACCACAGAAACAATACAAATCAAAATGTAATACTTGAAAATAGGCCGTTGTGCAGGCACTTTCAATCTGATACAAGGCTGGTGGCCGACATTGCTTTCAGTAGAGAAGTTAACGTCCCGTGATGCTCTAAAGGTGTTTTTTAATACTTCATAGAATATAAAATCCTGGGGGAAAACACTAAATAACTTTAAGGGTTCAACGGCCTTAGAAAGGGTATCAACAGCTGACATGTTTGTAAGTTTCTACCTGTTCTACAGTTTTACTTCTCCGAACTCACATCACATCCTGTGTGTGAGCCTGCATGCATGGCACGCGTGTCTCTTACTCCAAGGCTCAGTCTGAGGTCAGACAGCTCACTCCGGTGAAAAAGTGACCAATTTGCCTCAAAATGCAAATTCCAGCTGTACCCTCATTGGCAAAACGCAAGCCATGTGTACGCGTTTCCTTTAAAAAGGGACAAATTGACAAATCTGTGTGCAGCCTCCCACCACCGTCCCCTGATTTCACTGATTAATCAAGTGAATGAAAACTAGGTCTTAATTAAAAGGATGTGGACGTGCTCCCAGCAGACCCCCCCCGTGCAGCTCCACGGCCCCCACAAACAAACTCCCAGAATAAATGGCCGCCACATAAAAAGGTAAATAATTCACTGTAATGAGGGAACTTAGCAATAATAACAACTGGCATATGTTGTCAAAATGAAGAGAAATGGCTGCTTCCCACAAATAACAACAGCATAAATGAAAGTAATCTCATAAACAAGAACATAACTCAATTGCATAAAAAGAGGTAAACCTTAAAAAACAACAAAGTATTCATCATTTGAAACCTCGGGGATGTGCCCTTGACTTGAAGCCATCTGTTGGGACCTCCGTGTCACAGCTTTCATTTTCTTAAGTAACGTTATGTAAGTGACCTCAAAACTCAGGAATTATGACACGGGGTAAAATTATGAATACATATAGACTATTCGTTAATAAGAAGAAAGTGGTGGCTCCACATTAATCATCCGGATTTTAACCTCCTCACAGCTCACAGGACAAAACACAATTCCTCAGAGTGAAATTATCCCTCTTATACTACCGAAAGCAACAGCAGCCGATCCAAAATATTTTACTGCCGCACGTTTTTGGCCCGTTGCATTTATGGGAATTTGATGACATGAGGGAGTGAAATCCGCACACTGCTTTTAAGTACTTCATGCTGTATTCAGCGAGGGAATATTATGTTGTTGGTTTTTTTTTGACAAAAGCTACAATACCTACACCTAAACCATCCACCGTCACAGAGCCCGAGAGTGGAAACAGTCCTGTTTCATCTCCCACACAACAGACACTTCACACACATGCACACAACCAATGCGCACACATGGTAAGCACAGAGCATGGACTCCAATTAAAGTCCCATTAAAGTTTGGGCTGAAAGGGGGATGAACCGCAGGAGGCAGAGAAGGGCATTTATTGACGTCGTCCTCGCATCTCGTTCCTGCATTAAGTTGATTTTAAAAGCAATTAATACACATGGTCAGGGAGAAGTAATGGAGCGCCTTATGTTCTTAACCTGCTGGACATTTCCCAGCCGAAAGCCCTGACCGACGCAGCCCTGCTTTGCATTATAAATGACAAGATAAATCTTAATGGATTGAGGATAATCAGCAAGCCATGAAGACTGACATATACACACGTTCGCTGGGCGTAGGAGCGCTCACACACACACACACACACACATACTCAAACGTGGACGTACAGACACAAGGGAAATTAAAGGCTTTGAATACGTCTGCATTGATTATTTTAAATTATTAGCCCACCTCTCTTTGGACCGCCAATGCTTTTAGCCTAAGCTTTAACACATTTACAGAGACTTATTGACTATAATTACAACTGAGTCTCGGTAATGGACACATCAATTATGAGTCGCACATGTCTCTGACCAAGCGTTGCTCAGGGAATCCCAATCTGGGTTCCATTAGCGTCTCTCCTGCTGGTCTGAAGCTCAATCAGTCTTTACCTTCACCTCTACTGAAACGGCTATTACCTGGCTGCAGTAGATAGTGGCCTTAACATTAGCTTGAGCTGCCAAAGAGGAGGCTGCGTCTCCCAACTCGAAGCAATTGTACCTAAAAACAAAAGGCCTAATAGCTGAGGCAGCCACACAAAGACGGTATTGTTCTTTTTGGCAAAACGCGATGTGTTCAAGTGCTCACGAGGCTTTAAAATCAGTCACAGAAGGTTGAATGATTTATGCAGCAACTGCAAAGTTACACATAAGTGTTTTTAAATTACCTTCTGATCAAAACCTCATTTCTAATAAGTTTATAAATTGCATAACAATGCATTGAAAATACAGTTTGTGAGGGATGAGGGATAATAGCTTTGACCTGCTTTTACGCAGCATACATACTGCACTGGCGTCTGTTAATTGTGTATGTGGCACACAGAGAGTAGCAGAAAGACGAAGAGTGTGTGAGTAAACAGAAGAAGTGTACGTACCGGTGTGTGTGCGGATGTGTGCCAGGAAGGCCATGGAGTTGCTGCTCTTGCACACCTTGCCACAGTACTTGCACACGCTGCCCTGGTTCTCCTCGCGCTCGCGGTTGATCTGCTCCGTGTCCTCCAACACGTACTTGTTGACCTCCCTCAGGAGCTCCTCGTGCTTCTCCTTGATGTGGACGAACAGGTCCTGCTCCGTTCCGAAGCGGTCGGTGCACTTCACGCACTTGAAGCTGGCGCCCCCCTCGGGCAGCGCCTCCACGCTGTTGCGCTCGTTGCGCAGGTGGGCGGCGCTGGTCAGGTGCTGGTGCAGGTTGCTCTCGGTGTAGAACGACTTGCCGCACACCAGGCAGTGGAAATGCTTCTCCTTGGACGGGTGCTTCATGGAGATGTGGACGTTGAGGCCGCTGATGCCGTCGGCCATGAAGCCGCAGTCCTCGCAGCGGATGCGGGTGCTGCTTCGCTTGGCTTCGTCGCTCACCTTCATCATCTTGCGCCTGAGCTTCCTGACGTACGCGGAGTTGGGGGGCAGGAAGCCGGAGGGCACCGTCGATCCCCCGGTCAGACATATGACGGCGGCCTCGCCCTCCAGAGACAGGCCTTCCTGCAGCTGCTGCTGCTCCTGCTCAGCGAGGGCCTTCACGGACACGATGCAGGCATCGAAGGGAAGCGCTTTGGACATTTGTGTGTCTGAATGAGAGCCGTCGCTTTTTGCGTCTAAAATCATCTCGTCTGTATTCAGGGGTTCTTCGTCTGCTGGCTGTCCCCCTTCCTCCCGGCTCTCTGGCTGTGCAGACTGATCCTCCGCGGGATGAAGTTCTGCTGGAGCCTCCTGGGGTTCACACAGCTCCGTGAGTCCAGTTGTCGCGTCGGTTGGATCCGGTTCACCACTACTGGAGGATGCTATACTCTCTACTTGCTTCTCGTCATCTGCACTGCCAGCTACTGCAGCAGCAGCAGCATCAACAGGCTCCGTGGGTGCGGCTGCAGTCTGACTTTCGGCAGCTTGGCTGTCATCAGAAGAAGAGTCGGACTCCTCTGTGGGGCTCAGGTGTTCACATTCAGGGTTAGGGTTGGCCTCCGCGAGCTCAACGGCCTCTTCCAACGGGAGCGCCGCAGCTCTTTGTTCCTCGCTCTCTCGTGGTTCCAGGTATTTCTGGCTTTTCTGTTTGTGCTTGTCTGTGATGGCATGGCGAGACATTTCCCTGCTGGTTACAGCATAGTAGCTACACGCAAGGCAGACGTACTCAAAATCTTTGGTGTGCTTTCTCTTGACGTGAAGATGGAGCGAGGGGATCGACTGAGCTACAAAATCGCAATAGCTGCAAGCGCTAACGGAGTCATATTTACTTTTTCTCTGGCTCGTGTCCGACTGCGGCTGCTCTTCTCCGCTGCGTTCGTTTGCGGCGGAGTCGTCAGATTCCGGCTCTCTGTCGGCGCTCTGCAGGGATGCATTCGCTTCCTGTGCTTGTCCAGTTGTGGCTTCCTCCGGTGACGCACTTGTGTGATTGTTGGCCTGGTTGTTGTTGGCGCACTCTTGTGCGCGTCTGACATGTTTCTTCGTGATACAGTGGCGATCCATGTCCCCTTTGGTCACGCAGCTGTAGTTGCACAGGGTGCAGCTGTAGCCGTACTCCTTGCTGTGTTTGCGGCGGACGTGGACACTGAGGTTGGTAGCGTTGGACACCACCAGGCCACAGTATCCACAAGTGGTCGTGGACCCTTGCTTTGGTCTGCCTCTTTTCTTTCTGGGAGTTTCGAGCTCTAAGTCTTCCTCGTCCACCGATGCAGCTATGGAAGCTGCCTCGGTTACCTGCTGCCCCTCTGTCGAAGCAGCGGCCACCTGAACCATATCGTCCACATTAGCACCCTCTCCAGCGCCGTCTCTGCTTACGCTCTCGACGTAGGCGTCAAAGGAGGCGGAGTCGCTGCTTTTCTCCCCTTTCTGCTGCCGCATGTGACTGTCCGAGGACAGGTGAGCGTCCATCCACTCGGACGTGGCCGAGAGGAAGTTACACAATTTGCAGCGGTACCACTCCTGGTTAAGGTGTTTTATCCTCGTGTGGTTTTCAAGCAACGCGGGGGTGCTAACCCTGAAATCGCAGTGTGAACACTTCAGCTGGAACCTGCTGAACGTACGTTTAGCGGCCACTCTGGTCGGGGTGGCCTTCAGAGTGCTGCCAGGGTCCTCGGCTTCCTTGTCTTCACCCGTGTTCTCGCCAGCCTCAACTGAAACACATTTCAAAAGACACGCACAATTCAGCCAAAAGATCATTTAGATATCATTAACATGTTATGTTTGGGATTTGTAAAAAATCCATCGATATTTTTGATGATACAAACTATCTACTGTCTAACATCTTTAGAATAGCGTGAATTTTGAATTTCACCTTTAACTTGAGAATAGCATATACTCACATGTGAATGGGGTGTCTTTGGTGTGGTATCTCTGGATATGCACGTCCAGAGGGGACTTGTCCCTAAACTCTTGTCCACAGTAGTTGCACGAATGTATCATCTTAGGTTTTGGGGTTCTCTTGCTAACTCGTCTCTCTTGTGTGGGGACTGCCTCCTCTTGATCTGCCTGCTGTTTGTCTAATACCGTTTCCTTTTCAGTGAAACTATTTGTGTGGATTCCGCTGTCGTCATCTGCTGACCTCAGCTCATCAACATCAGACTCCTGGTTTTGTTTGACTTCAGCAGCACTCTCCGTCTCCATGTCTACTTCCTGTTGGTTTTCAGCTGGACTCCCGTCCGACTCTTTTTCATTTTCTTCGGCCGGCTTGGCAGTTCTATTGGTACTCTTTGAGTTCTTTCCATGCTTTCTTGAAGAGTGGATCTTCAGCGATCTCGGACATTTGGCAGAGAAGCCACAAACTGTGCAGAGGTTATCACCATCTTCTGGTACAGAGTCAGGCCGCAGCCTCTCAGCGACTTCCTCATCTGTTCCGTTGGGCTTGGCGGTCCCACCGGGTGAGTCTCTTTTAGTTTCCTCCATTTCCACGTCACCTGGCTGCACCTTCCCACTGGTGTCATTATCACAACCTTTGTCCTCAACAGCCTCCTTTCCCGATATCAACGCTTTATCCATTTCATAGCCTGCTATGAGCGTATAACAGTGAAGTTGATCGCTATCATCAAACTCCTGGAAAGAAAGAAAGAAAGAAACGGAATATATGAATGGCATCTTCAATCGTCTACAACACAATTTAGTGAATTAAAGAAACATTCTGGAAACAAGTAAAGTGCATTTGCCACAAATTGTGTAGTTAAACACCAGCTTCTGAAAAACGATCACTCATTTAACAGCACCATCAGCCTCAGCACAAGTAAATGTCGCCATCTAGTGCTTCCAGGCTCTAACTGTTTGGTACAAACATTCCAGCATGTGAGCTTGCTGTTGCTGGTCATTTAGTGGGAAAACAAGTCCACTTAAGTCACAGTCATTTAATGGTGCATACATATGGCAATGCTGGTTTAAGAACCATTACTAAATGCTTATAGACATGATTCAATAGCGCTCCAGTTGTTGCCACAATTAGACCAGTAAAATTATGTGAAGTACAGCTTAAAAATTCATTATCAATAACCATATGTCTAGTGTTGCAACAGTCTCAACGTATTTTCTTCTGCCGCATATATTCAACATAATTGTACATTGGTTAAGACAGCTCAATGCACGGCCACTTCAGAAGTGTTTCTCTATTTGCAGCATGTTTCTTTTTGCCATAAAACACTCAAACTGATAGGTGTTATTTTTCATTTGCTTGTGTTTTACTTACATGCAGCTTTCTCAAAGGCCATATAATACAGTGTGTGTAAAATATACAGGGGACATCTTGAGCAACAAATATGTTTCAGCACATCCATGTGTAAATTGTCACAACGGTTCAAAATGTATGTACCTTTTATCTGCCTTTTATCCTTTATTATTAGTTAGGATTTAGGTAAAATATATATAATAAATACTGTACTTCAGCTAGATTTGCGTGTGTATGTGTGTGTGTAGAGGGTCATGCCTTGTTTATGCTTATGAGCTTCAGTCCACTTGTGCTTGCAAATGTAAACGTAGGATCCGTAAAAACGTGAAACTGCAGCGACAACGGTCGAGTGTTGCAGTGTAAGACACCGCGTGAAAACTATTTTCATGGCGTAGATTGCTCGTTCACCTCCACACATATGAGGGGAAGTTGTTGTGGGTACTGCTGCTGGCTACCGCGGCTAACTTGCTAACTAGCGACATGTTTCTCAACTGTACTTTGAGACACACACCGCACGTCCAATGGCATTGTTACATCGGCGGTGTAGTCCAATCAGAGCGGGACAAAGGCGGGTCTAAATCGTTCCATGGCTTGGAAAACGACGGCATCACAGTGGCCCAAAAAGGAGGCTAACGTCGACCTCTGAAACAGTGCTGTATATGACCGAAACAGTGCCTAAAAACACCCCCGATAGTCGTCTATCGTTTTAGTAAAAGCAACTCAGGTAATTATTGGCAAATACAGTCAAACTTCAATTGAACTTACCTCTTGTTATACGACTATTTCCACTGTCCGCGCTTTTTGCTGCTAGACACAAATGGCGTACCGTAGCGTGAGCCCTGCGTCACAGGAGAGGGCGGCGCGAGCGGCGTTGCTTCTTTTTTTTTCTCTCCGTCAGCTGATTTGGTCAGGTGATGCATTCCCGTTCTGGGGGGGAAACCGACAGTCAGAGCATTGTCAACTCGTTCAAATTGTTCAAATTGGTGACATTCTCGTCTCGTTGGAAAATGCCAAGACGCCAGGGGGGGAAATTTGAAAGCTTTCATTGCTGCTCCTCAGAATTGTGATTGTTACAACACACACAGCCAGGAAGTGATGCATTTAATGTCATATTTTACTGCACAGTACACGACCAGCCAGGCAGAGCACCATGCATACATATTTAAAACACTATTCACTGCTCTTCAATTTGTGCATATATTTCATTTTTTTATTATCATTTCTTTTCTATAATGGTATTGCTTTTGTTATTCAAGGGAGGGTATTGGCCCAAGGAGGACTGAGAACACGTCTTATCAGTAAATTACCTAGCTTGAAGTTTTCTTGCGGGAATTACGGTCTGCAAGCTGAGAGAACATCTTAATGTGAATGTAGCACATCTCGTTACATTTGTGCACATTTGTAATTCAGGTATGGGAGTGAGGGAGTTGTGCTTTTGTTTTAAAAATTAACAAATCTGTACATAAATATATAACAAACTATACCAACTGTACTATACCAACAACCGACTGTTGAAAGAGTTTTCGTGCACATCTTCAAAAATGTTGCCATATTGTGATGAAATTATTTATTTTAGTCTATTGTTGGAGAGTAAACCACTTAATACTGTGCTATGGTCCTAAAATAGTCTCGATGTACAGGTTTGTGTTTTCCTCCCAGACATTTATTTCAACTTTCTGAACTGTCATTAAAATGTCATGATAATATAAGAACTATTTGCATTATTGTATTTATTTAAAGGTTTAGCATGTGGCCTATGCAGAGGCAGTGTATATTTTTTTCCTCAAATGGTCAGCCCGTGATGAATCACCACTTCCATTTGACATCCATTGTTAGCTTTATGGAAAAGACTGAAGATTGATTAATGCATGGGCATTAATTGATTAAGTAGTCTGACAGGTCAGGAGGTGATAAATGATACCTCCTGCAATGAATACACAGTTTACTTTGCAATCATTTTCTTTAATTCATCACAGTCAAAATTATATGACATGGATGGTTGGAAACACGTTCCCCCTCCTCCCTCATCTCCCATATTTCATTAGGATTCATCATTCATTTTTCTCCATTAGTTGTCTATTAAAAGAGAGGAGGCTGGCTTTGGTGGACTGGACACTGCCTCAGTCTCCGTCGTGCTTCTTGTAAAGTTTCGCCATGAAATCAACCGACCATCCCCCTTAAATTTTGGGATTTGAGTTTACTCAGTCACTCAGTTATTTGCACATCCATGGAGATAAAAGGATACAGAATACGCCATTACTGGTTCTTTTTACTCACATTTTCTTTCCAGCCTTATCTGAATCTCTCATTCTTTCTCTGAAGTACGGCTCATATTTAACTAGCATATTTTCGTAAACCCAAAAAGAAAAGACACATTTTCATTACAGACGGATTTCACTCTGATTTTACATTGATTAAAGGGTTCACTTTCTGCAAAAACAGACATTTCCCTAATATCTTACATTTTCATAAACATATTTCACCTATAAGTCTACAAAGGAAACTCTATGCTTTAAAAGTAGCTACTAAGGCCAGACCAGTTGGGTCGATACCATTTCTTATATTGTTACTTTTAGTAATTACTGAAGGTGGTCTTAATATCAACAGTCATATGACAGCCGTTATATAGTAGAGCTATCCTGTAATGGAGGTCTATGTTAACCAAAGCATGTACATCTGATGTACAGACACAGTCATCAAGCCGGGACACTGTCTACCACCATTGTGTTGTAAAATTGTTCACAGACAAAACCCATTTTACTGGATATGTTAAAAGTCATTATCTCCACCACATTGTCTTGGAAACAAAGAATTGTTTCATGTACACATAATTCACATTCTTGTAACTATTTCCAAGTGATGCTCTATGAAATGAATGAATAGTAGAAAAACCAAATGAAACACAACTAAAGTCAACATCCTTAAATATTTGTCGTCGGCCGTTCGTAAAGACCTTGCGCTGAAGGTCAACTCACACAGGTGTTTTCAATTTGTTGCCTAATTAGTCCTCTTCTCAGGACTGTGGGTCTGTGCACTGGATTGGCCTCTGTAAAAGCCCAGGTGTTACTAATAACATTAACGATGGGGCTCTGTTCTACACAAGTGTAAGCTGTGACAGTCAACTAGCATGCACAATACCAGGACCCTAAAACAGAAGCAGCTGGATGGAATTCAGCCGCCGTTAATTTTATTATTCACACCTGTGCCGCTCCTTCTGTGGCATGTCAAAATGTCGCATTGACGTCTCCCTGACTTTAGATTTATTTTGCACCTTATAGGCTAGGATGAATTTACTCCTTAATCAGTCTTATTCAGGACTTCGTTTCTCCAAATAACTTTAAAATGAGCAGTTGCAGTCAACCAGAATAACTTCAAATGTCTGTGCCAACACTTGGTCATTAATTGATGTACGGCAAAGACTCATGATATTTATTGTAAGAACAACAAGCATTGCTTATATATCAGTATAAAGCAAAACACGATCACTTATGAGTGTGCAACAGTATTATGTTGTTAGGATACTGGCGGCAGTGCAAGACTGATCCTGTCGTCTTGCTCAAAAGGAAAGATTGATGCTCTAGTTTCAAATGTTCCCCATATTCCCACACTGTGCTTTAGACATTTGTGTGCTGTAGTCTGCTGAGTCACCATCGTGTCAGTGCGTTCACTCTACCTGAGGCTGCCTATTGAAGATAGATGGGATGGGATATTAAGTAACACAGAGGGCCCGGTCTACTAACAAAATGGTTGCGCAGATATACTTTGCAGTTTTCATTGTGTTTGCGGCCGCAATCTGTGTGGATTCAGTGTCTGATCTATGCTACTAGCTCATCACGCAGTCAGCTCCAGGACTAATGCTGAACTGCCCTCAAGACGCACTATGCGAGTTAAGGAGAGCTTTTTCGTGCAGGTCAGATGTGGGATTTCCATGAGATCACTGAGCTCAATCACAAATATTTAATTTTTAACTATTAACAAAAATGTTACTCATAAAATGATATTATAACCTTTAGTACATCTGATAAACACAGCACATCTTAGTAAATCTGGCCCTGAGCTCCTCAGCAGCACAAGTTTGACAAAACAGAGACTAACTTCAACCCACCAGAGGGAGCAATCAGCACATTTATCACACATCGGCCACATTCAGCCACAGCTTCAATGTGTGTGTGTGTGTGTGTGTATGCGGTGCCATGACAACCGCCCCGAGACACATCTCGCAAAAACTGGTTGCTGAAAGACAAGAGTCTTGCCAGAAAGTGATAATGCTGTAATCGTGTTTCAGAGAATAGAAGTACAGGAAGAAAGAGAAAGCTCATACAAACACAATTACAGCCCAGTGATACCAAGTAAGGACCTTTTTATGTGAAATTTACAGAACCAGCCAACATTCAACTTTAAATAGACTTCTTTCTACAGAAGGGTGTACAGGAACAGCCTTCTTATAGTTTTCCTGTCAAATAAGTATCTGATCTTTGTCATGTGGGGCTAAATATGTTGTTTTAAAATATAAAATGTGTGGCAAACACAGTACAAGATGTCAGTGCAGCCTGCTTTATTCATTAATAAACACTGGCTATTGGTTGAAGTTTTGATTTATACACTTCTAAAAGGTATATTAAATTGTTGCACTTGCTGACACTATACTTTCCCCCCAGCAGCATTAAAGAAACTAAAGGTCATGGTAGTAACATGACAACAGAATCACACAGTAGCTCATAGTGTTGCAGCTATGAAGCTGGGCCTCTGCAGCGGTGGCTTTTTATCGATATACCTTAAACATTTTGAATTGAAGGTTGCAGGTTTGAAAATAGAAAAACGATGGCAAGGGGAAATCCCACCACTTCATGATCACTGCAGCTTGACGCCTTATGAGTCCTGCCAACAGTCCAGTGGCAAAAAGAACAACCTTTTCCCACCCCTCCTTATATACCGTAATGCAGTACGAGGATTACCCCCCCCCCCCCCACACACACACACACACCCTACCAGAAAACTATTTTCTGTCTCCCTGTGATGTGTGTGCTTTCCTTCGTTACCGTACCAGCAGCTGTTTTAAGACCATGAGGTCGCAGCAGCCCCAAAATGTATCACCTCACTGTGTAAACACACAGCCATGTTTAAAAGGCAAGTCCCAGAATGGGGTGCAGTGATGTTTGGGTTTGAGGGTTTCAAGGACACACACTGGGGAACATTGATTTAGTCAAAAGGCAAATGTTTAAAACATCAGTGACCCCACAGAGTCCCACAGTATGCAGGTATTATAAAGGCTTTCAGGGACACACTCAGTGGTCTGCTCCTGCCCACCCTGTACTTTTATCCCCGCTGTAGTAAACCTGCATCCCAAATGGATGGCATGCTCCGTAGCATTCCTTCAGACTAGCGTCACTAATCCCTATCTCTTAAATTCGGACATTTTCCTCTACAGATCTGGGCCAGACCAAGGCTGATACACAGATCAGGTTCCTGTCGGATCTAAATTAAGCCGCCTTTCTATGTTGGGATGCTCAGGTTCAAAAAGTGTGCGGGATTAGAGTAAAACTGGACAGAAGGTAAGAGAGGATGATGTGTTATTCAAAGACTACTACTACTACTACTATACCACAAATGGCCCGGTTCTGCTACATAAACATGGAAGAAATTGCATATGAAGGTATCAGAAGGTCTTGCTGAGTGTTCTGTGTTTGCTGGGAGAGAAACAGTCTGATGACGATAATTTCAAGGGGTTGGAGGTGGGGGGTGGCGGGGGGGGGATCACTGGTTATCTGGCATCAAACACAACAACGCATTCAAGCCACCCAGCTGCGAGACACTCTTTCTCTAGAGTCTCTCTCTCTCTCGCT